CCGTCCCCCCCCTCCTCTCAGGCAGTTGTAGGGAGCGATAAGGGCTCCCCTCAGCCTCCTCTTCTCCAGGATGAACACCCCCAGCTCCCCCAGACGCTCCCCAGTACCCTTGGGCTCCAGACCCCTCCCCAGCTTCCTTGCCCTTCTCTGGACACGCTCCAGCCCTTCCATGTCCTTCTGGGAGTGAGGGGCCCAACCCTGAACCCAGCATTCCAGGGGCGGCCTCACCAGTGCCCAGGACAGGGGCACGGTCACTGCCCCGCTCCTGCTGGCCACACCACTCCTGATACAAGCCAGGATGCTGGTGGCCCTCTTGGCCACCTGGGCACACTGCAGGCTCATATTCAGCTGCCTGTCAACCAACACTCCCAGGTCCTTTTCTGCCGGGCAGCTTTCTAGACCCTCTTCCCCACGCCTGTAGCGTTGCATGGGATAAATGTTACAAACACCATTACTTTTACTGTTTTTCTTGTTTCTTTCACAGGTATAATAACAAAATCAAATCATGTATCTTTGGTTAAGACTTACGCATATGATGGTGTATTATTTCAGAAAGGCATCGTGTGTCCTACATGCAACATGGAGAAGCCAGCCAGATCAAAACACTGCAGTAAGAATCTTAACTTCCTCAATAAGCGTAACAGTAACGCTTTCCCAAATCAATTATCCATCAATAACTGCAGTTCACGCTACATCTGTTCTGTTATCCAGCGCGATGCACGCAGTGTTGTGTTCGTTTTACTGAGGTCCCAGAACACAGCTGCCCTTTGCCCGCCTGTAGAACTGCTGTGCTGCTATTTCTTCTCACAGAAATTACCAGTTCCCAGGGTATCCTTTTGGGTCAGGAAGAGGCAAGCTTTTGAGCATCTGGAAGTTAAATGGAAAATGATCACCTGCCAAGACCTGAGTTCAGGATTTTGTGTTTCTCTTGCAGAATTTGCTGTTATCATCTAAAATAAAGCTGGGAGCTACAATCTCTACCTTTCATATGCTTTGCTAGGCAGTACTGTCAGAGAAACCAAAGTCTTTGAGCTGCAGTCTTGGTGAATAAAAGAGGAAATGAGATACAGGTCCTTGTTTTTAGTACTGGTGAGGGTCTATGATATGCATTTGAAATTAATGTATTTTCTTAAAAAGCTATCAGCTAAATCATGACTGTGATTCTCAAGATTGTTTCAGATGAAAAACTATCCTAAACTGTGTAAAAATCAAACTGATTACTTAACTGCATGGTCTTGTCACTCCCTCCTCCTCAGGTGTCTGCAGTGTGTGCGTACATCGTTTTGATCACCACTGTGTGTGGGTCAACAACTGCATTGGTGCCTTCAACACAAAGTATTTCTTCCTTTACCTCTTCACGCTGACTGCCATGGCTGCCACTATTGCAATCGTCACAGCAGCTTTCCTCATCCAAGTGGTGCTGCTGTCAGATGCAATGCATGGGACTTACGTTGATGACCAAGGACAGGAGCATACTGTTGAGATTTTCTTCCTCATTCAGGTAGGTTTATGCTGTGTGGGTTTTTAGCTTGTAAAAAGGTTTATTTCAGTCTTTGCTTTCAGGAATCTTGCAAATCTACCTGCTCTCACCAGCAGGATGTGGACAGACTGCGCCTTTTTTTTTTACCAACTTAAGTTTAGAAAACTGCCATTGCAGAGTACTTCAAAAATACAGGATTTTTCTCACAGCACTTCATTCCGCTCTCCCGTTCTTTGGATTCCTGTCTCCAGGCTGCTTTCACTCGGCAGATCTGGTTCATAAAGAGTGACTTTACACTCAATGGCCGTCTGCTGCAGTAATGTTTAGGAAACAGTTGGCAATCCTTGACATACCTTCATGGAGGTGTTAAAGCAGGACCCTGCTACCCTGGAGTTTAAATACTTCAATATTTTTTTCTCACATACAAGCAAAGGGTGACTTTGAGTCTCTCGAGCACTTGAGTCATTAGCATTTCAATCCCCTAGTCCACTTCTATAGTAGGGCAGTGAGGTGATTAGTAAATGCTTTATCTTTTCCTCATCCTAGACAACAGATGTTTCGGCCTTGTACTCTATAAAAGGGATCTTGGTCAGGGAACGCTTCCTCATGTCTAAGCAGTACCATTACTACTCCCCGTATTGGAATTTAACTCAGAAAATTGCTGCTTAAACTGTGTCATGTCAGCAAAACCTGAAGTTGTACCAGATTGAAGCCTCTTCATTTGGCGGTTTGTTTTCAGATGATCTGCATTAGTGGGGTTTTTGTTGGATTTTTTTTAAATTAAAAAAAATAAACAAGCAAAATTCCAACATGAAATACAAACATTTGGAGATAGATGGGTGTAGAAAATACGCCTGCATATTAGCAAGGCTGGTGAGGCATTACATTTCTGGAAATCTCTGTGCTTTACTCAAAGATTCAATCGGGCACGGACTGAGCTGGATGGGGCTGTGACCCTGTTTCAGGGGCTGTGCAGTTATGTGTGCGTACAGACATGCATTGCGGCCTTTCAGTACTTAAAGGGGGCCCAGAGGAAAGGTGGGGACAATCTTTTTAGGACAGGGACAAGGGGTGACAGGACAAGGGGTGATGGTTTTAAATTAAACCAGGGTAGGTTTAGCCTGGATATAAGGAAGAAATCCTTTACAATGAGGGTGGTGAAACACTGGCACGGGTTGCCCAGAGAAGTGGTGGAGGCCCCATCCCTGGGAACATTCCAGGCCAGGTTGGACGGGGCTGTGAGCAGCCTGGTCTGGTTCAAGGTGTCCCTGCTCACTGCAGGGGGGTTGGACTGGGTAACCCTAAAGGTCCCTTCCACCCCAAAATATTCTGTGATTCTATGATTTCAGCTGGCATGTTGCAGTGGTCACGTGCCTCCATGTGATTTAATGCTCCAACTTCTTAACTAAGTTGTTATTTTCTTTCTTCGCAGCACCTTTTCTTGACTTTTCCTAGGATTGTCTTCATGCTTGGTTTTGTTCTTCTTCTCACGCTCGTACTGGGCGCATACTGCTGCTTCAACCTGTACTTGGCCTTAACCAACCAAACGTCCAGTGAATGGCATAAATCCAGAAGATACGGGTGTTCCCACCATCCAACGCTGCAGCCTCACGACAGAAGAGTTGTCTACAAAAACATTTATTCTAAAGGAGTCTGGATGAATTTAAAGGAAATCTTTAAGCCTCTCACAGTGTTGGAAAGAAAGAAGAAAACATGAAGATACCATTCTTTATACGTGCAGTTTTTAACTTTCTGTAAGACTTTATTTCAGCAGTGTGCTTTGATGCCCCAGACAATTTTTGTAGAAAGATTACTGTATTTCAATTAAATAATTGGAAACTATGTTTTCAGTAAGCCAACCAGTCTTCAAAAAACTTGGGAGGAGTTCTGAGTTCACCTGTAACACTACTTACTCCTACCAGCTGTGACAGTCACCCGTCAGTCTTTTCAGACACAGTCGCAGCATTGAAGCAAGCCGTTACTAGAGGTAGGTTCAGCTAAGGAAGGCGCACTTTTTTTTTATGATTACTGTTTGTGTGCTGCATAATACCACTTCACAGGAATATAGCGATGTCACACAGGTGGAAGTGGTAAACATCTGAATGCAAGTATTTGTCAACTATTCACACTTCCACACACCCCCCACAGGAAAATAGTAACTGTATTCCGCTGGGAGTTAGCATTTTCAGCAGTATCCTGTTAACAACGCCTCAGCAGAGCACTACTTCAGATTCCTCACTGGGTAATATTGCTGAGGTTAAGCTTCGGTCTCGTTTCCTTGTTAGAGGGACCAGTAGTGAATTTGCTGGTATGGAGGCAAGTTTGGTTCAGCTTCCTGAAGTGAATCTTTGTGTAAGTACTGTTGGCTGTCAAATTATTACCCCATTGCTGTTAACTACATAGAACAGGCTGCATGTATTTTGCTGGAAAAAAACCCACGATTACTGGCAGAAGCTGAACCTGCAGAAACAATGTTTTACTGCAAATCTGTACTAGTATGGAGCACCTTAATTTCAGAAAGGAAACTACCACAAGTACTCCTTCTCCTTACCTGCCGAGTCTTTTTCTTGAGACCTATTTTCAGCTTGTTCAAAATAAGGTGCCCTTTCACCCTTAGAGTGAGGAAGTGGACTTCTGGGCAAAATTTCAGCATCCTGAAAAGGGTATCAGAAATCTGATCTTGAGCTCTGGACATACAGGTCCTGGCAGATTACAAACGTAATCCTTCTGGCATTTTTCATCTTCATTGCGTTGTTTTGGTAGATCTGTTCACAACAAGAGGCTCAGCTACATCTTGGCCATTTCTTTGTATTTTCGGCATTTTGCAGCAGGGGAAGTTCAGAGTTGCTGAGGCTGTTTCTAGGGCTGCCCACCTGCAATCACTGAGCACGCCGCTTCAAAAGCACAGCAGTGACATGGTTTTCCACTTCTGCACAGGGATGCTGAAAGGTTCTTCATCAGTATCCCTCAAGAAAACCCCCTGCCCTAACTGCAGAAGACAAAAGTAAACTTACAGCTTTGCAAGCGACCTTCTGAACTCCCTCTAACTTGGCTTGCTGGACAAATCTCCAAAGCAGAGACACGCTGGCTGCTTTTAGAGGCTTGCAGTTGTTCTGGGAAAAAGGGTGTTTGACTCGCCCAGGGATGAAGGTTTCTTAAGCGCAACATTAAGTGGCCTCTTTCTCCTTCCAGAAATTCTTCTGTTTTGAATGATAATAGAGCAGAAATTGGAAAAATATAGTAAGAACTTTAAATAACTTTATTTTTAAAAATGTATTTATTTACATGCCAAATCTGTACAATATGCAATTAAAAATCCATATATGGTTTTAAAAAAAAAAAAAGAAATCATATACAATATGGCTTTACACACCAACAGGCTAGCTCTCAGAGCAGCCTGCCTGGCATTGCAAGGGTACAATGATGCATTCTTTCATAGACCAGTACATAAGGCTACTTGTCCAGGATATAAAATAAAATACTGCAGTACCATGCCTTAGTACCATGCTAAAGTAGTGAGGTTAAAGGCATGAAAGTTTTTGAGTGGTGGTGACTGTGCACCAGAACTCCTTAGATTTGGTTTTCTTGGTTGGCTTTAAATGCATATGATGAAGTAATCTCTTACTTGCTTCACTTTCGGAATCCTTTTAAACCAGAACACTACTGTCCCGTGGTCAGAGGCAAATCCTTCGCAAAGGATCTTCCTTTATTTGAGGCAGATGTACAAAATTCTGAGACACTGAAATATGGCGTCTTGGTCACTTCCCTGGTGTAACCATGCAGAGGTTTTTGCCTACTGTTATTTCCATTTTAAACAGAAAACATCTTGGGGCAGTACCATCCTGTTAAGCCACTTACCCATAGAAGCATTCTCTCCTTTGCTCTCTGAACAATTATAATGGCAAACTTAGGACTGATCAAGTTCCCCAAACCGGAGAAAAATCATAAGCTTTACGTGAACACCTGTCATGAGCTGCATGCTGTTCCTTACACAATCACAGTCTGGACTTCCACCTCCCCTCCTGGGAGGTGATCACAAACTCTCCTGCATGTTCCATTATTTCAATGTCCTCGGATGCCACCATTGTCACCGTTGCTTCTTCCGTCTCGATGCTACCCTCCGTAGTCAGCACTGCTCCCTCTCCGATGGCGGAAGCCAGCGTCATAGCGACCTGCTCTGTGAGGCTTTCGGGGGTTGCGATGGTGATGGTGTCTGCAGCATCTGTGGTTACTTCCGAGTTTTCTGCCACGGTGACATTCTGTACAATGATCTGGTGACCAGAGTTTGCTTGATTTACTATTTGTTGCACAACCTTCATAATGTGGCTGTCAACCTAGGTGAAGAGAAGACAGGCCATGTTATTTCTCTGTGTATTGTACGCTGTTAGGAGTGCAATTATCATCACCATGAACAGCAGTTGATGACCAGCAGGGCAGTACAACAAGCAGCATTTCATTGCAATTTCCTCCAGCTGTTCCCTGAAGTTCTCATCACTCCAAGAACAGACTCCTAGAACATGTCACACCTCACATCGCTGAAGACATTTCACCAGCAGGGTACTTCCTACAGAAAGTCAAACTACTTTTTATAGAAAAATCCTAACAATGCATGCCCAGACATTTAAACCGACTGACTGCAAGTCAAGAGCCCAGCCAGCCTCCCACTTTGCAGCAACAGTTATTTCTGGCGTTCAGGAACGCTTTACAAGGATCGCTTCCCCAAGGCTGAAATGTTACTGTGAAGCCACACAAGTCACCAGCCACTGTCACTGTGAGGATCAGAGCTCAGTCAAAACCAGTATGACCAGTATTGTTTTTATACAGACAGGGCTGCAAAACTACAGAGGTAAGTAAATTAATTATTTGAAGTTGGGTGTATTTAGCATGACTTTTAGACACTAGAAGTGATTCATTTCAGCTACAGCAAGTCCCCAAAACAATAGTTTATGCAGCTGCTTTTACCTCATGTCTTGTTCCCTCTATTATTTCAGTAGCTTCACTGGTCTCCATGTCTTCAGTAGCAGTCTTGAAAAACAAAATATGATTATTCCCTTTTTAGGTTATTACAAAAAAATCTTTTATTACCAAAATACAAGACACTAAGATCTTTCACAAAAGTCTTTCTGTCCCCCCCCATGATGCAGCAGCTCTCTAAAGTCAACTCCTTGAAATTCCCTCCAACTCCTATTTTCGAGAGCTACTTAAAAGTAATGCAAAATGCTCACAAATAACTGAAAGAGAACATCCTCTCTCAGCAGGACTCTGCCAACTGGCAGATTTTTCTCCTATTGGAGAATAACTATGGCAGCACTAAAGGGACTCAATAAATGAACTGTGTTGTTCTGCGTGGATGAGCGCTGGCTCTTTGTCATGAAGCGGGAGAAAGCGAAATGTGTAATTCATTGCTTTTGGCAGCCACAGCCAGTTAAAAACAACAGATCATTTTGGACAAAATAAGCTGAATAGAATTGGGAGAAAAGAGGACATAGAAGCTAAGGGAAAGCTGAAGCAAGTTTGTGAGGATGCAAGATCTGGTATGGTCAGAAGTTCTCAGCCTTCTGATGAACTGCTGTCAGCCTCCCCAACATTCTCGTTTTCCTGCCTATGTTACGTGCAGGACTTCAGAAGGGCAGTGAAGCAGGCTCCCAGTGCTCTCCTTCTGAACAAGGTTAAACCTGCTTATTCCTAGGGTCATGCAGGCAGCAGTGGCATTGGATAAATCCTATTTTACCTTTTCCCAAAAGCCTAGATGAGGAATGTGTGCACAGCTGCAGTTTTTACTGACAAAATACTGTGGGACATTCAGAATGAGAAGGCTGTTTGCCCCACTTCTTACCTCGATGATGTATTCTTGAGTGTCCGCCACCACTGAAGAAAACTCTACCAAAACAGTGTGAGGATCTTCAGAAATGACCGTCGCAGCCAAGTTGTCAGCTGACTGACTCTCCTCGGACACCATCACTTCTTCCACCTCTTTCAAAGCAAGGAGGCAGCCACCTGAAGGGTATTCCAAAAATGCCAGAAAAATGTTATTTGTCATAACCATCTCAAATACAGGAGTACCTGGAAAATACTACGCAGCACGAACAAGACCCCTTTAAGAGGATGCCGCTGACAAGCAACCAGCAGTCAGACGACAGGCTCTCACCCCACCAGACCGGCCAAATAATGGCCTAGAAGAGGCCTGCGTGGCACCAGACAACAGAACTGAGCCACAAGCTGAGCAACTGTCCAGTGTCATTTCAAAAAATACACAACTAAATTCAGATGCATAAAACCATTACAGGATTTCAAAAGCCGTACGCAAAGAACATACAATAAGACTTTTGCTGTGTTTTAAGTCGTGTATCTTTTCTGCTTATGCATTACATTTCAGTATCTACCTAGGAAACTTTTTTTTCCGCTCCGGTAAGCTCGTATTGTCCTTTACAATCTTAATGCATCATCATCATCACCACTGCCTGAAGAAGTTTGAAAATATGTGCTTAGGAGCTAAAGGAGCAGCAGGTCCACTGCAACTAATCTGATCAAACAAGATTATCTGTGAGAACTGAACTCTACTTTAAAGACATTTTCGTCGCAGAACATCTACACTTCCTGTGTTTACAGGATTTCATAAAACCCAAAAATTAGTACGAATTTAAAAATTAAAGCCAAAAAAAAAAAAAAAAAAAAAGGGAAGTTTAACCATAACAATATGTGCCACATCCTAAGTTTTACAGTCCTCTCACCTCTTCCCCAACACAGAAATCCAGCACTCTCTGGCATTACTTTGCAAAAATGCTAATTTTCTCCCTCTGCGTGGAGGGAACAAAACCTTGGAACAGAACCACTTCGCAGTTGGGAGTAGGCTCTTGCACAGTACAGGGTCTGTTTTCCCCAGCAGCAACATTGCAGAGACCACTTGAGCCAGAGTTTGGAGCAGAGTGCCCACAGCAGCCCTGCAGTTAGACTCTTAATGCAAATTCTGTTTCGGTTATCTTTATTTAGATGGTCTAAATTTTATATTAGAACTGGTTTATAGCTCTTTGTTCAGCATACTTTTTGGTCAGAAAGATCGTAATAGAAATATTCATTCAACGTAGATGAAAGAAAAAATATAATGCATCTCCTTCTGATGCAACCCGGGATGCAGACAAACAAATGCCCTTGGATGAAGGTCGTCAGATCCACTCTGAAAAATCATTACCACTCAGCCAAAAAGTAGCTTGTCCAAACCCAATCCTAAAACAACACGCACACCCCCACCCCAAGTGCCATCTCACCTTTGGTTTTTAAGTGCCTGTTGAGAGTGCCATGCTCTGCAAACCCTCGCCCGCACTTGTAACACTTGAAAGGCTTTTCCCCTGTGTGATGGCGGATGTGGCGGACCAGCGAGCCCTTTTCCCGAAAGCCCCGGCTGCAGTACTGACAGACGTAAGGCTTATCCTCTAAATGCGTACGGAAATGAACTTGCTGGGCGTTCTGTACAAAGAGAGGAGTGAGAGAAGGGCAGCTAAAGGGAGAGACAAACTCAAGCAAGCAGCATTTTAGCTTCCAGGGTAAAAGTCAACATCTTTGAGGACTACTTGTCATGTAAGACACGATAAAGACTTGGTTTTATTATGATGATGTCCTTTTTTCACACAGGGAGGAAGAGTTTCTTCACAAATGTGAAGGTTTTATTAAGACTGTCCCTCTTTTCCCCACTAAAACAAAAGCTCCTTCTGGAGCTTCTGCTCTTACAAGAGGCAGGTGAGCTGGCATTTGTTCTTTCAGGAGCAAAGCCTCCTAACTTCTCCCAAACCCTGGCTCTGGAAAGGAAAATCTGACAGCAAGCCTGCTGCCAGGGAGGCACACCTTTGTCTTGTACCGCTTGCCACACTTCGGACAGGAATACGGCCGCTCATCAGAATGCACTCTTCGATGCCCCTTCACATGTGCGATGGTCTTGTAGAGCTTGCCACACTCTCCACAGCGGAAACGCCGTTCGTTCACGTGCACTTCTTGATGCTTTTTTAGCAGGTAGCCCTTTGTGAACTCTTTGCCACACTCCTCGCACTTAAAAGGCTTGTAATCTAGAGAGAGAACACATCGTTGATACAGGACAATCAGCCGTAGCAAGCATCTAGTACGTGCTGTAACAAAATTCTTACTAAAAAACTAACGCGGAGAAGGAGGGAAATAATATTCTTCAACTGCATATATGGGCTTTGTCTCATTCCTAACTGAATTCTGT